CTCTCTCCTTCTTTCTTTCTCTCTCTCTTCCTCACCTACTTAAAAAAGTATCTTTAAGGAGCAAAATTCCTCGCCTTACGGCTCGTGTATCGTTATTATTAATATTATTATTATTCACCGCTTTCCTTCGAACGATATTATATATATTTATATGTACTTAGGTAAGATATTTACGCGTGACGTATTTACAATTGAACTTATTGTACATTTTCACGATCGACGTCTCGTGAAAAATAGATTTTCTTTTCTCTTTCACCTACAATACACCGTGCGTCTCTTCATTCTCGTCTTCTAATTCACATAACCAATATCTTTCTTTCTTTCCCTTTTCAACTTGCACCGTAGTGTGTCTTTCTCTTTTCTTCGTACGTCTCTATTCCCTCCATTTTCTTTGATCGATCGATTTCTCAGTTTTAACGCGCGTAAGACACTATTACAAATACCAGTATCTAGCATAATATCGATAAACAGTGAACGTGATCATCGAGAATCAAGGAATATTACAGTTCGTTCGGTTCGGAAGCACTGAACGCCCTCTTTGCATCTTTAGACGCGGTCGATATATCGTGCGCGATCGATGGTTGAGTAGTAGACCCGAGAAATACAAAAACGAGCAACTTATCGATTATCATTTCCACGTGTCTCGTGTTGTACTATATGAAAATACAATGTAAGGCTGCGCTTTGTAGCGTTTCACCTGCGAAATCGCAAACTTAACCTCTCCTGTTCGCCGTTTTCTTAATCCTCCATCAGTTGCAATGTACCCGAATCGATGATACTTTGTTCAAATTGGTATCTGTGTCTGTTGCGTCTTTTGCTGCATTTGTTTTTTTTTCCTCGTACAGAGTGCAGATTTAAAAAATATACTTGGTTTTTGTTTTATACATTCTTCTTTACAGTGAATCGCAGTGTTGGAATTCGAGATAAGATTATCGATACAAGTCGTACCACATGGAAATGAGACAAGAAGAGATACATTGAATCCGATGGAAGTTTAACGTAATAAACGATACACGTCTGTTAATAAAATTGCATGTTTCACCGGAATTCCTCGAATGATACTTGAGCTGCATGAAAAAATTCCACCCCGTCGACTTCTTGTTCGAGATACCGACATACCGTCGATTTCACATGTTAATAATTGCTAGCATATCTGTTAGATACCGCTGTATGTATACTATAAGAGCTTCTTTTTCTTTTTAGGTGTACGTTATTTTTTTTTTTTCTTTAAGGCCATGGTATCTGTAAATCTTCCTTTGTAGTCACGTAAAAGAGGGAACTATTTTGTTGAAAAAATGTTTTCGGGGGATTATTTAAGTCTCGCAAAATTGTCTGTCTCTTGTCGCTTACGTACTTACAATTCTAATGTAATTAAGTCTTAAATCGTACGTTTCCATCCGAGAACAAACATTCCATTTTTACGCATCGTATACCTACAGGGCACGAATAATACACAGTTTAATAATTTCTCTCTCTTTCACTCACTCTCTGTTCATACTTTGTGACGAAATTGCACAAACCAGCGTGTATAATCGTACAATAGTATGCGATAAATTTAAAGGAAAAAAAAAAAAAATATATATATAATTGAACAATAAGGAATCATCGATTTGTTGCTTGATTCGTATAATTCGAAGATTATTCGAAACTATCGTGAATTGTTATGCAATTTATATTCTCCTTGAGACATTTTTCATTGCGTTTAACGAAAAAGAAACTTTTCATCGATCTAATATTTTTTCACGATCACGATATACTGCAGCGATTTGCAACAAAGAGAAAAACCAAGAAAACAAATGAACAAAAATTAGCAGCAGCGTCGATGACAATAAG